AAGATCCTGGGTGCGAGCCCCCCCCCCCCCCCCCCCCCCCTGCCCGTTTTCGATCGGCATGAGCATCGTACCAGCGTGCGGTCGTGTATCACTACTGCGTGAGCCCGTTAAAGACCCCAGGTTAGCAGACGTACTGCACTGCCAAAATTGTTCATCTACAGTGAAAATCAGTGTCGCCCCATCCTGGCAGACCGACCTTACGCTGTATAAACACTAAACGTCCAATTTGATTTTTGATTTGTCCTTAATACTTCTTCCCCCATCGGTCGACGTCAGCTTGTGAACGGCAGCGGAACGACTTGAGATTTACAAATGTAGCGTCGGTTATCAATGGCTTCCAACGTGAAATAGAAGACGATAAAAATTTCATCCTGAGTCCGATCAGTTTTCGGCACGGCAATCAAATCGTAGCAAACGATAAACTTTTTTTATATTTTTTTATGCAAGCAGCGTTTTATGTTTGATTGTTTTATTTCCTTCTGTGAATGGCGCTCTGTAACAGACAAACTGGGTTTTTGCCCCCGTTAGCAGACCAATAACGTTGTCTTCATTCGCTCCACGAAAGGCGAATGAGACCTCGCTCTTGCTCTCGCGGTGTCTAAAAGTGAAAACCTGAAAGCTCAGGCGATATCTTTCTACTCCGATGAAGATTCTTTTAACATTTCTGGGGGGACGAAAAACACGTTTGCCTTGATTTTTAGATAAGATAAATGGCCACGATGATTTCAAGCACCAAGGTTGCTGAAGTCTCTTTAAGGGGTATACCCACGGGGGAGAAATCCTTGCCTTTGCGCCCCGGTATGCGCGTCACGTGGTAACTATGTCACGCTTTCACTCGGAGCCGCACTCACGTAGCCCCCCCGGAGGATCGGGGGAGCTTTTGCTCAGGCTGCACGAACGTTCCCCCCTCGGAGTAAGATCCCTTTCCAATTGGCGGTAATTAGTTCGCGTGTCTGGCAACTTTACAGATTTTGCTCAATGATATACCGGCGGCGGCATCGGGTTCGGCTAACTCGTTGTTGCTTGCGCTGTTCCGCATATCGTCCGAGACACTCGAACGAGTTTTCGATATACATCAATGCCGTCCTCAAGCCGCGCCTCGTAGAACTGATTTCTGATTCCAGGTTCTTTGTGTTGCATCCACCCATTCAAGAAGCACCTTTCTTTTATCAGGAAGCAGTTCGTTGTCCTCTGCATCTAACAGCGCTGTTGCCATAATCGGGTACGCCGTTTGATGTAAGCCTCCATTTTTGTACTCTCGTCACCGCTCACCGAGCCCTGTCGTCGACACTGCGACTGCTGATTGCGTCTGATAACACTGACATCCCTTTCGACTCCTGCCCTTCTCGAAGAGGTGACAGACGTACCGCTGGCCCTCGGTTTCGCTGGAAAAGATGGAAGGGCGGTTTATAAAAGGGTAGAGGCAACGAAGAGGAGATTGCAGTGCTGGTGGAAATTATCTAGGAAAAATGATCTATACTCTGTCTGACTTTAAGTATGAGCGTAGAATAAGCTACAAATGCGAGCTCTGGGCTTTCAGCGTCACTGCCAGGGATGCCGCTCGTGCATGCAGCGCAAGCACTGCTCAGAGCAATTGTTCGCGTTTGTAGCATTGGGTGCCAGTTGAGTGACAGGCGGGAAAGAGGAAAATTGGGACTACATCCCGCGTGGCTCTGTCCCAAATTCTCAACCCTGTCCCCCAGTGGGTCGGGTGTTAGGTGACGCAGACGTTCGACCAGAGAAGCATTGGTGAGTCCTTCGCCGGGGGGAGGGGCGGGTGTGATGTTTTTAGTTTTTTTTGACCAATCCCTCAAAGGTCTGATGGTGATCATCTTCGTGTCCTGGTGATAGAGAAACGCATTGGCTTGTTGGCTTGAAAAAAAGATAGGGAAAACCAGGTTTTAGTTATCGTTTTTAGGCTAGGTGATGCTAGGTGACACCTAGCCTCACACATAAATGATTATAGATGTTTAATAACAGCACCGACGAGATAAGTTATGTTTCTATTGTTTTAAGTCAAACATGTGCTTTACGACAATAAATCGGGCAGCTTCGCCATCCCTCCGCTAGATGCCGTCGGCCGCGGTACTGTTTTTTTTAGGTTTTCATCGGAGCTAGACACTGATCTCTGGGGATAACAGTATTGAAAAAAATAGTTTATTATATTTTGTACAGCGATCGCAATACAGAGCTCTAGGTGAGGCTAGGTGCTATTTAATTCACTCCGTCAACTCTCTTTTCTGGTAAAATAAAGTGAACAGGGTATGGCAGAGCTAAGTACAGTACAGCTGGTCCTACAAGTGACTAGCCTGACTGATCAACGTTCGGAAAGATGAAATGCCGTCTTTTATGCGTTCTCGCGAATATACTGAGAGCGAAATTTTGAGTAGGGCTATTTCCTTCTTTCTACTTAGGGGAGGCATGAAAAGGCAGTTATCACCTGTAGCAATCTTTTTGTTTTTTTTGTTTGTTAAAGGGATATTGTCGATTATTATCTTTGTAGCTCCTGAATCTTTAAAGCGCAAAAGACAGGAAAACGCCCGATAAGAGATAAACTCGCCGCTCTCAGATACCAAGCAAGAAAGACCAAATTAATGTCCGAAGGAAGCCTGAGACAGCGTCCTTCCGAAAGCGCGCTTTGGGAATGGATGTTGTCTGCCGACCTGCCCCGCCCTATTGCACCTGTCAGGCATTCTCGTTCTTAAAGTGTTCGTGCGACTGCTGCGTCGCGTGTCGCCCTTTCGTCGGACCGGCAATCGCTAGTTTGTGCTATTCTCTCTTAGTGGTGACTGCACATTTGCATATCTTTTGTTGACGGTGACGCAACTTCGTGTAGCACGACGGAGGTTATATTTAGAAGAGACGATGCTTTAATCGAGCCCTGCGGCCTTCGCACACGCGCTGCGCTTATAAAGGAAAATATTGGTCTCCGGGACACGCCGAGGAAGTCGCTGTCAACGGCTTTGCGCGCGTATATAATTTCTAAAAGAGCGACTCGATTAATCAATGTATGCGGCCATAAGGTCAATTTAGTAACTTTTGGAACCACCCTTGACGAAACTTGAGAAGAACGGCTCAAGACAATGTTGTTGTGCATGATGTCAGAAGATTATACAGTGTAACCATAAGCTGCGTTGATTTCCAGGTGCCATATTTTCTGGTCTATAAGTCGCACCCCCTACACACGGTAGTTGTCGCGTTCAAGTTGGCATATAGGCCGCAGGTTTGTGAAAGTACCGCGTATGTACAGAGCTGCAAAGGATGGCGTAGTTGCTGTCGCTTCAGTAAATGACTCACGGCTCCACGCTTCGGACCGTCTAGGGATCGCCGAAGAGCAGGCCGTCGGCGGGTGCTCTGCCTATACTCCTGTCTAACAGATGTCGACGACTTGCAAAGCTGAGGTTCAAACAAATACATTTATAAATAAAACGACGCATAAAGTTTGCGCCGTCATATGAAACGCATTGACGGAAGCAGTAACCAGCAATCAACAAGAATTCATCTTTTCACTTTTTTCTGTCCAGTTTCTTATTGTGCCATTTGTGCTGAGGACGCCGTAGTACTTAAAACCTCCCGCTGGCGTAAAACGAGGGCACCAAACAACATCTTGAAAACCCAAGACTTAGGAACAAAAAAGACCCAACAATCCTGTATACGTGTTGTCAACTTTTTAATGCGTCAGCATTAGAACGCTCGTTTTGACGAAAACCCGGTGGTGCCTTTCGCTTGTCAGTGCCGAGGAGAGAGGGAGAAGGAGGAAGAGGGTGTGACGTCTGTGACGTACCCATTGGTCTGAAGCGCTGACTTCATCATGCGTCAACCTTTCCCTCTCTCCGGCGCTGACAAACTGACAGACACCACCGGGTTTTCGTCAAAACGAGCCCTTTCGTTCACATCAAAGTCATATGCATAGCTGGCGCGGAGCCAGATAGGCGGAGGCACCGCGCAGCACCTCGTAGGTAACAAAGATGTAATGCTAAATGAGATGGCGTCATCAGAGAAGGTCAATGCTGGACACAAATTGGAAACGAGTGCTGCGTCACCGCTGGTGTCCAGTCAAGTTTGAGTCGCGTTGACGCAATTGTCGTGTCCAATCTCACCTCAGAGGTGGCCTTCTCTGATGACGGCATCTCATTCAGCCCTATGGCTTTGTTATCTAGGAGGTGTTGCGCCGCGGCGCAGTGGAATGCGGGCGTGCTCAGCTGTCCCTCTGTCGTCGCCGGTTGTTCTTCGCTCTGAATTTCTGTAGTAGCGGTACGTGGGCTGTGAAGTGTGTGTAGTTAAAGCGATGGATGCGGTTCCTTACACGAGTGTTGCGCATGTGGGCATTTCCTAGAGTGATATGCATGACCGCATCCAAGGGCGTCAACGTACTCTGATAGGCAGAGTAGTGAAAAGGCGTGAAAAAATTACAGAAAACTCTATTGATGGATTTACAGGGAATCCGTTAGCATAACACTCGGGAAACGCCACACATGCCCCCCTTTGGGAAACACCAACACTACCACATAACGATGCCAAACGGAGGCATCAGAAATAAAGGAAGCAGACGAAAAAGCCAAAAGGGAAAGTTGGAAGGGGTCAGCGTTAGCATTCGCCAAAGGTTGACGTGTGTGGCGTTTTCAAGGGCCATGCTAACGCGTTCCTTAAGAAGTTACCAAAGGATCTTCCTGTAACCTTTTATCTCCGAAGTCTCGGGTTTAAAACATGTTTAAAGTTCACCACCTTGCCTGCATTTTTTTTTGTACGGAGAGCACGAAATTTGTAAGAACGAAAAATAAATTAGTCTATTTTTGTCATCCTTAAATCTTGGTGTGCTTTCATTACCGTTCAGAATGATTTCTGTAAAGAATCACCAGCTCGCCCGAACCTTTAACAGGCCTGAACAAGCCTTAATAAATCACAATTTTTCGCGTAATGACGCGTACGGCTGATACCGTCCAGAGTTCAGCGTTGCTCCCCACGCGGACAATATTAGTTTCCTGTTTTGTTCGTCGCAGATGGAGACGACGAGTCACAGGTCGGTCGCGACAACATCCGGGCTGCGCAAGAGACACAGCGGTTTCTCATCGTGGTCCTGCGTCGCAATCTCCTTGGCGGTTCTCTGCTTTACAGCTACAAGCGGTGAGTCCTGACTCTCTCGAAGTGAATTCGCACCGGAAAAGTGGCTGTACCCTTCGTACGTATTAAAGGCGCTCTAAATGCGTGGCATTTGGAGATCACCTGTGACGGCACCGCGTCACTTGACGCCTCGAGTCTCGTGGTCACGTGGCACTCTGACGTCACGGTGACACGTGAAGTCAAGGTGACACGTGATGTCAGAGTGTTACTGACGACTGTCTGGCTAAGGTCTTTACATAAACTCCGTGACGGCATTAGCGTGACGCTCGTCACCATCGAGGTTACATGTCACTGACACGGAGTGCTAGAAGCTGTTCCTATATATACTCTGCGTTTTAAAAACAATCTCACCTCATGTCAGCATTTTTATTTTTTTAAATTTGAGGCATTTGCTTTTTTGCAGGGCACGCTTTGTGGAGGGGTGAGAGTTTGTACCGAGAGCAATTTGAAATCTAGGGCCTCGCTGTGATCTACCTCTTGAAACAACACTGACGCGAAGTGTCCTATAAGTGCTACGTATTTTAAAACAATCCCACGTAATATCAGCATTCGTTAAAAAAAAAAAAAAAATCAACAGGGGCACGTACTGCTTTGCAGGGCACGCGAAAGTGCGTGGGGGAGAGTTTGTGACGAAAGGGCAATTTGAAATTTAGGGCCTCGCTTTGGTCTACCCGCGAAACTTACCGCGTGCAGAGCCCAAGAGCGGTACATACGCACATCTGGGTGCGACACGAAGACAATCGCTGAGCATGCGAAAGGATGTTGTTATCGCTTTTCCTGCAATGTGCGATTTCCTTCCTTCGTCCTTTTCGCTCTTCATGCTTACGCTGCGAAGCACTTGCTGGAAATGCAATTTGTTTTAGGCTTACGAAGTGAGCGCTGATGCTTCTACGTTGGGACGCACACCTGACGGAGAGTGTGGAGTGGGGTAATGAATGGCACTCGAAGACGAGGCCTCCCCCAAACGTCATCAGTAGTGGATCCAGGCAGCGCCGCCTAGCTTGCGTCTGCATCGCCACCTGCGCGTCGTGCAGCGTCTCTCGTCCAGCGCGACGCTAGCACGTGGCGACGCCCAGCCGGGCGCGTCTGTCGCTTTGCGGCGTCTCTCGCCTAGCATGTTTATACACTGCTTGGCGCGGGTCTGGGATCCACCGACGATGACGTCACCCGCGGGCCTTGTCTTCTAGGTGTTGTTGGGTGGAGCAACACCTTTTCAATAACAAGGTCCTAGTGCTAAATTTTTGCGTTTACCTAAAGAAGACCAACAAATTGGACACGGGAGGTGCGTTAGCGGTTGATTCAGACTCGTGCTGTCGCCGACTGAACACGAGTCTCGGCCAAACTCGTGCCCCATTCGTTGTCCTTCTTTAGGTGACACCCAAGATTGAGCCCTGTGGTCTTTTTATTTAAGATGCTTTGGTTTTTGCTCCATTTTTGGCTTTAGCCAGAAGAGGTCAGAGAGGAAGGTGCAGATCGGGCACGAGTGCTGCGCCAGTGTTCGGCCGGGACGCGTGCTTTCGCCGATTAAACTCTAACCCCAGCCGAATGTTGACGCAGCATTGCGTTCAATATTCGCCCAGGGCAAACACCAAGAGCATAATCGAGGCCTGCAAACAATCCCCTCGTTCCCCGAGGAATATCATCGCAGCCTGATGGCGTCAACTGAAACATTGGACCCGAGCCTAGTGCCAAGAGTTCTTCGACGCGTTCATTGGACCGGAGGCAGAGGCGAACGATCACATCTGCAATCTTTGCTGGATCTCTCTGCGAGGACGTCGAAATTGCAGTCACAAAGCATCGATCTTTCTAAGTGGCGTTTTCCAAACTGGCTTCTTATAGGCAATGCCTTAAAATCGGCACTGGGGTCTCGCGATATAGCAGGTGTTGAGTGGGAGAGCGCAGATGGGAAGGTGGTGGTGGCGACGGCGTGGTACGGCCAGTGTTGCCGCATTGCCACTTCGGTTTTTCCCTCGTCAAGCGGCGAAAATTCCCTTTTTTTTTTCCCACCACACCATTTTAATGACAGAAGTCGTTTTTAAATACGCATGACGCCAAGTTTATTTAAATGCAGCAACACCTAACGTATGTTTTTGCTTTGTACAAGTTTGCATCGCATACATTACGAAATGTAGAAGTTGACATTCGGCAAACTGTTTCCCCCTCCACTTTTTTCAGCCACTATACATTGATTGAATGAACCAGGGCACTAAACGAAGGCAAGTGGGCCATTAACTAAACTAAACTAAAATTGCCTGCTCGTTTTCGTTTTGTGAAACCAACTGTGCAATTCATGATATATCCGCACTGACAGAGGACGTGTGTGCGAAGCTATAGCGGTGAGGAAAGCGCTCGAACCGGCAGTACTCTGCCGGCAGGCTTGCAGCACGCACACGATGTACGTCGTGAAGAATTAGTTTGACTCTTTAAAACAGCAAACTGTCTGAATAGCTAGTGCAAATTCCTTTTCTTTGTTCGATGTAGATAAGAAAATTACAAAAGTTCGGATTCGTCTTTTCTTAAAAACTATTTCCCACGTTTTACATGTGTTTAAATTCTGGTTTCTCTTTTTCCCTAGCTGTCATGCTTTTTCTCAGAAAATGGGAAATTTCCCACGATTCGGCAACACTGGGTACGGCTACATAAATACTCACTCTCCTTCCGTTAAAAATGCATTTTTCGTTGAAAAGCGTTGACCGTGGATATTTAAACCACGTGAGGGCGGTGTGCCATAGCTGTGTAGGTCGATATTTATTTATGCTCGTAAGCGCAGGCGCCACACAAAGACACGCAACCCGTGCTATCGGGCTTGAATGCAATGTGAAGAGTAACGGAAATTTGATCGCACTACCGGCGCAGCGTCTCAGCTTGGGATGTGCTGGGTGAGGTTCAAACACATCGAAATAGAACGCGCATCCTCGCTGCGCCCTACTCTCCACCCCGCAGTTTTATCAGTTTTCAGAGGCTTGCAGGAGGCGCAGTAGGTGTCGACGGGCACGCGCCCTAGAGTTCACATTGTATTGGTACCCAATATTAAAATAAGTACCCGCGAGGCCCGTCTATGAGGTCATAATGACAATACACTGTGATATAATACGAGGGTGGGGCAGTGACAATGTACATTGAGATATCACGAAGGAGGAGTCTAAGTCGATTGCAGGTTAATTGCCATCCTAGGGCGACACTGGCTCACGGTTTTGCTCGGAGATTAAGCCATGAAATGCAACTGTTATCTCAAGGTTTTTTAACGTGTACGACGCAGTAGTGATTACACGAACACACGCCGGTACGATGCTCAATCAGATCAAAACGGCAGAAGTGGGGAATGAAAAAGAATGTGTGTGCTTTCGGAGGTACGTGATTGCTGTCGCGGTTTGCTATAACCCTCGCATCAGCTGATCCAATCGGTGTGCAAGGTATTCCTAAAGAGAAAAACAGTGCCACCAATAATAGTAATAAAAAAGGAAGTGCATTGCCAGATTTTTGTAACGCAAAGGGATGATGAAATCCAATTGCTGGGGGTTAGGAGCATATATATTTTATATTTCTTGCTCGGCAAAAGAAAACTAGCACACCAGATGGGTAATGTTCACAAAAGGTTCGGTTCTCCTAAAAAGAAACGGAAGTGACGATATCGCGTCTGATTGGTTAGAGGCTCAAATGACGAAAGTTCCCTCTTTCGCCATTTGAGACTAACCAATCAGACGCGATATCGTCACTTCCGTCACGTCCGTTTCTTTTTAGGAGAAACGGAACATTTGTCGAACATAGCCCCCGGGGCAGAGATTTAAAGGAAGTGATTTTCGCTGTTATATTATAAAAATAAATATAAAAATTTTATTTCAGATGACATTTGCAAAGCTTCCCGTTTTTCTACCGTTTTGCACCCGCAATGTCCAAGCACGTCAGCCGAATTCGGCTCACGAGTACTTCCTCACCCTGTTGGTACCAAGATCGCTCGGTAACAACGTCAGCTAATATTCAGCTTCGTTCCACACTATTTAAGCGCTCGAACGCAAGTGCAAAACCAATTGACGAACATTGCACAAATCGCACTATTCAGACGAAAGTGGAAATGTTTGCATTAATTAGTTTTATATTAAGTAGTGTTGTGTAAGCTCCTTTCATTAAAAAGACATTGTTACATTGGAGAAACGGCAAAGAAAAGCTGCTTGATTTATTCACTCCAAATCCAGGAGGATGGCATCGCCAACAGAAATGCTCCCCTCGATCATTCTCGACCCACAGCAGACTCAACAAGAAATCGCATGCTTAAAAAAATAAGTTTTTAAATTATTAATGGCAAGCGTAACTTGAGACCAAATTTACATATTCGCCTAGCCAGTACAAAAAAGTCGGGTAGATAAACAACTCCAAAATAATAAAACATTAAACAGTCAAATAGACACTTCCAAGCATTCATATTTTGTAAGAACGATTCAGGCTTAAAACCTACTGCCAAACGAAATGGTGAATACAGGGACTGCATCATTCTTTGAACATTCCATCCAACAAAAAAAATGAAATCGGAACTTTTTACTGCCTATTAATGTCTGTTCATTGTGAACTGCTCCCTGCAATGTTGCGTGGATATTTATAACTTATACTTTCCCTGTAATGACCCTCAAAAGGGGGTTGACAGTATCTTAAAATAAATCAAAATCAAACGGCCCATTGCTTTCTAAAGATAGTTAATTTCATATATCCTGTCTCATGACTCTGCCCTCCTTCGTCAGGGGAAGCGGGCTCCAAAATATTACACTAATTACTCTGTAAAAGAGTGGTCTCCTCGTATACGAACCATACAAAGATTTTATGACGTGACAAAAGTACGAAGAAGAAGAGAAGAAATCATTATTTAAAATAAAAGACCCTAAGTTCATGGCGAAATACCAAAAAGACGATGATTATAGTGACACTTTTGAAGTCACAGCAGGCGTCTCTAAGCACGGGCTTATTCGTTCGCGTGTATAACTGGCTCGATCGTGTAATATTTAAACGACTCA